CAATCTTTTTATTTCTACTTGTGCCTGCTTTTGTCCAGGGGCCTCCATTTGAAGCTGCTTACAGGCCCCATCCCTTCTCAGATGATCCTGAGTCTTCCACTCCCTTTGGCCTCACCCCTCAAGGAGAGGACTCATTATGACAGCCACACTCACTCTGTCTAGCCAGTCTCCATCTTTTTTTTTTTTTTTTTTTTTTTTTTTTTTGGAGATGGAGTTTCTCTCTTGTTGCCCAGGCTGGAGTGCAATGGTGTAATCTTGGCTCACTGCAACCTCTGCCTCCCATGTTCAAGTGATTCGCCTGCCTCAGCCTCCCGAGTAGCTGGGATTAAAGGCATGCACCACCATGCCTGGCTAATTTTGTATTTTTGTTAGAAATGGGGTTTCTCCATGTTGGTCAGGCTGGTATTGAACTCCCAAACTCAAGTGATCGCCTGCCTTGGCCTTCCAAAGTGCTGGGATTACAGGTGTGAGCCACCACGCCTGGCCTGCAGGTCTTGATGTGAACCTACATTCAATAATCTTCAAAGAATCTTTTCCTCATTTGATAGCTTTCTTCCAGTTTCCTCAAAACTTTGAGAGCTCTGTTATCAGAGTTTTCTGTACAGGAGAATCATGTGGGAAGTTTGTTTTTGTTTGTTTCTTTTTAAATATCAATGCCAGGTCCTATTATAGACCAAGTAAATCAGAATCTTTGGGAGAGGAGAAGGCATTGATACTTTCAGAATTCCCCACACAACTCCAATGTGTGACCAGGGCTGAGAATCACTGAGCTAGAGGAGTCTTCTTCAACTTGAACATGTGTACAAATCCTCTGAGGATCTTGTTAAACACAGCTTCAGATTCAGTAGGTTTGGGGAAGAGCCCCAAATTCTGCATTTCCATCAAGTTCCCATGGGATCCCAGTTGCTGCTGGTCCATGGACCACACTTTGAGTAGCAAGGGTCTGTAGGCAGCCAGATTTGAGGGGTAGGGGATAAAAGTGGGGTTCACTGGTTTTCTACATTCAAACCAAGTGTCCATTATGGAGCAATCTTTAGTTGGAAAGAGGCTTCCTGGAAGAGTTAGGGTAAAACGCTCTTATAGAAGGGGAGAGGATTTTTCTGCTAATGTGGGATTAGAAACTTTCACATCTAAGAAATATTACAGGATCCAATCACTGTGAGATGCATAAAATGTCTAGCAGAGTACCCAATACATAGTAAGTTCTCAATCTATGGTACTTGTGTTATTGTTTTCATAATTACTGCAGGACTCCTGACCCACATCTCAAACCAACTAAGCATGTGCTTTCAATGTCCAATACCCCGTCCAAGCCTCACAAACTATTTTCATCCCCAGAGGATGTGCCTCAGGCAGGAGCCAAGCACAGAAAGGCTTGGGTCCAGGGACCTTCATCCCAGACAGGACCCCATGGACCCTAACTGGTCCAAGGACACGAATACATTGCCTTTGGCTCTCCCATTCATTTGATTCCATTTCCATGAGCTGTGGACATGCTTCCATAACCTAGTCATGGCTAACAGTGAGTGCTTGCTACATATGGGGAACTGTCTTAAGTGCTTTACTTGGTTTAACTTATTATATCCTTAAAACAACTCTGACCTGCAGGTACAATTGGCTTCGGTAACAAAGAAACTTTGAAAGAAAAAGAATCTTGCCCAGGATTACATACACAGTAAGAGACAGGGCCAAAAAGCAAACTGAGGAAGGTACTTCAATGCTCAAGCTTTCCTAGTGCTTCTCAAACTTGAATTGCTAAGCAATTTCACTAAATTACGGGTTCTCATTCAGCAATGCTAGGTATGGTGCATACCTCTTTATAGGAGAGGTAGAGTCTGGGATTCTGCATTTCCCACAAGCTCTCAGGTGATGTTGATATGGCTAACCCACCAACGCCATTTTGAGTAGCAAAGCTACGCACATGCTCTGATGCCCACTGGTGTTTCTGGATATCCTCCTTAATAGCCCCCTAAAAACTTACCACCATACTCCCACAATGGATGGTTTGTTGATTTGAGGAGCGGCAAAATTACAGTAAATTTCCACTTGGAACATTTATGCAAAGTTCTGTTCAACTTCTGCTCAAATTGCAATATTTTGTGGCAAAGGGTATCAGCTATTTGGAAAAGTATTATGTCCGTTATGATCTGTAGAAGCTGCAGCTTGTGATGAAGTTACTTTTAAATTTAAGCATCACAACTGAGAATGCTTTCTGGGCCAGGATACTATTCCCATCTCTAAACGCAAAGTGAAGAGTTCCAAATTGAGAAATACAGGAGGAGAACTTTTTGAAACATAGAAGTGAATCATGTAACTGGAAGCTTTCCTTCTCAGCTCAGTAGAAGAGATGAGTTATATAGAAACCAGAAGATATGACAAATCTTCCTGCCCTGTGAAGGGTATTTAAGGGAAAATACAGACTGTCCACCCAATCATTCCAGATTCAGCAGTGGAGAACTAGCTCACTTGAGAATGAGACAGAGAAAACCTAAACAGAGAGAGGGGAAGATAAACAACCAGCGATGCTTTTGATGCCAGAGTGACCTGAAGCTCCAGAGTCACAACAAGGTTCTGGTGGAAACTGACTTCAAACAATGAACCCTTGGAAAAATCAAAATACCCTAACCAAAGGTGGTGATGATACTACAGTTAGATTCAACAATGATCAATGACAAAAAGGATTTGCTACAATGGTGCCTCTACGAAACTCCCATAGTCCAGTGACTCTCAAATTTAGCTCCACATTAGAATCACCTGGGAAGCGTTAGCCACCAGCTCCCTTGCCCATCTCCATTCTCAGGCCACACTTCCACATCAATTCAATCAGTCTCTGGAGGTGGGGCCCAGGCATCCTTAATTTGTAAAGATCCCTAGGTGATTCCAACGTGCAGCCAAGTTTAAGAACCACTGGGTTAGGCTTTCAGTGTCTTTACTCATAAAATGAAAAAATCTTTCAGGACTAGTGATTCTCAGCCCTAGATGAATGTTAGAATCACCTTGGGGAGATTGCTTAAAATACTAATGTGATGCCAATACCACCCCTAGAAATTCTGGTGAACCTGTAGAGCCTAGGCATCAGCATTTCTAAGACCTCCTCAGGTGATTCTAAAATGTAGCCATGTAGATGACCACTGGTCCAGATATTTTTGCCAAGATTTCTTCTATTGCTTATGTTTTAAGGATCTGTGGTATTAAAGCTGAAAATGCATCTTAGACATTTTGCAGAGGGGGAGCCCTCACCTTTACCTTTGCATCAGGGATCTTTTACTTTGGATGAATCTATTTATTCCCCTAAGTCATATACGAACTGTTATATGAATATTAATATGTATATGTATTTGTATTTTTCAGAAGCAAATGTCATCTGCTTTTGTTAGGTTTTCAAAAGAGTTAAGACTACTATTTTAAAAGCAAATGTTAGGTTTCTTAATAAATTTAAGAAAATTAAAGAATGAATGGAGGCCGGGCACGGTGGCTCAAGCCTGTAATCCCAGCACTTTGGGAGGCCGAGGCGGGTGGATCACGAGGTCGACAGATCGAGACCATCCTGGTCAACATGGTGAAACCCCGTCTCTACTAAAAATACAAAAAATTAGCTGGGCATGGTGGCGCGTGCCTGTAATCCCAGCTACTCAGGAGGCTGAGGCAGGAGAATTGCCTGAACCCAGGAGGCGGAGGTTGCGGTGAGCCGAGATCACGCCATTGCACTCCAGCCTGGGTAACAAGAGCGAAACTCCGTCTCAAAAAAAAAAAAAAAAGAATGAATGGAAAATAAATTTGATCTCATCAGCAACTTTGCTACAGTTTGGATTTGGGCACACCCATCGCCACCTAGTGGTTACATGTCCTTATTGCAGGTTTAATTCAGATCACATGGCCCAGCCTCTGAAAAGCTGGAGAGCAACAGATGTGAAGATTTCAGATTCAAGCATCAAAGTAAAAGTTTTCTCTGGGATAAGGATTAGTACCAGTAAGAGGTTATCTAGAAACACTCCCTATAAGAGATGACTTCCCAAGCTGTACTTATAAGGACACTGTCCACTCAGATATTTTGGATTCACTCTCAACCATGCAAGGATATTACAGTTTCTTAGTCTTTACTGTTGCTAACTATTTGTCTTGGCTTGAATCTTGCTTTTCTCTCCTACTAATCGTGTGACCTTCAGAAAGTTACTTAACCTTTCCATTCCTCACACAAAATGAGGATAATCTAAGTATTTCTAAGATTGCTGTGGAGAATAAATAACAAAATATATGTAGAAGGCTCAGCATGACTCTTGGCACAGAACAAGATTCCAATAAATATTTAGGTTGTATTACTGTTATTACTGATTTTTAAATTATTATTAACATCTCAGTGACCTTGTTCAAGTTACCAACTTTATTTGAGCTTCATTTATTGACCTGCAAGACAAAGAAAATAAGCCCTGCCATTTTCTGCACTGTTCTAGCAATAATAATAAAAAACAAACAGAAGGCATATTGTTATTTTATGGCAACTCATCATACATCCAGGGAATCTACAGAGCACAGGAAAGGGTCACCCAAAAATACAGATATTAATTCTCACCCTCAGGGAGGTGCTCTTTGAGATCCCAGTAGTTAATTAGGCTCTACATTGGGGGACAGTACTTTCTTGTCACGTAACTAGCATCCTAGTCAGCCTAAAGTTTCCCATCATAGGGCTGAATGGATGACCATATTCTGCTATGGCTGCTGCAAACTCCTTTTCCAGTAAGATAATTATCCCAGCCACTCACTGGGTCACACATGCCTGAAATTGTCAGTCCTCATCCAGCCCAGACACTGACCAGCAGCAATCTTGCCCATCAAAACTCACCCCAGGGAGAGAGTCCCGAAAACCTTTTGCAAGCCTGCCTGTCCATCAGGAAGTCCCTCATCACACCATCATGGTCCACAACCTACCCCGCCAGAGCAGAAACATCCTGAAACTTTTCATCAGCCTCCACAAAGAATCAAGGTGCCCAGCTGTTACTTACCTGGAGTCTGCTTGGCCGTACGCACAGGAGTGTAGTGGTTTTTGGAGGACGATCTGACCGGCGTGTTCTCTTTGGGAGAGGTATCAATAGCCGAGATAGTTTCTCTTTCACAGTGTGCTATCGGGATTGGTCCCTGTTGTCTTAAGATGTCAGCCAGAGCCCTAAACAAGGAGGAGATCACATGAGATTCACTGAGCAGGTGTGAACAACCATGAGAGGAGTTAGCTTACTTTCACAGGCCTTTGATTTACAGAGATGCAAGAAGAGACAGAGGCAATGTTCAGTTCTCAACAGTCAGCTGCACCTGTTGTTGGTCTCAGTGAGGACACAGGGTAAAGGTTACCATGCCTGGAGGTACGGACCAAAAGGCTGGGACTACGGTTTCTTTCTTTAATTCATGTCACATCAGTAAACTCTGAGCCCTTTCAAAATACTGGCTCCGCAAAGATCTACCTATGCCAGGCAGGTATCTATAGCAGCTGGCCGGTGGAATGCCACTATGGTGAAGGGCTGAAACCATCAGCCTCAAATTCAGCAGCAGGTCACTAATAACAGGGGACCACTTCATCATCCCATACCGCACACTGAGTAGCATGTACTAGAGACTCAAATAAGTACAACACACAGCTCCTGCCATCAAGGAAAGGTGTGACTGAGCTGCAAGGAAAGGAAAGAGAGATAAAAGGATAAAAATCAAAACAGGTGGATGGTGCAGACGGTGAAGGCAACTGGAGTTTAGAAGAGGGAACGATCACAAACACAGGGAAAAAATACACAGGAAGAGAGAGAGACAGGCAGAGACTCTGCCATAGCAGGAGAGACCCGCCCCCCCCACCCCCCGCAAGAGGTCCAGTTACTCAGAGAAAGCGGCTTTTATTAACTCAGCATGTAGCTTCAACAACCAAACACGCATTGACTGAGGATCAGCATGCATCAATCACTGAAGAGACAGAGATCAATGGGACCTAATTCCTGCCATCTATGGACTCATAATTTAGAGGGAATTGCTCCCCTACCTGCTTTCAAACAGGATGCCCTCTGTGGGTGTGACATGTGAGATACCCCCTGGCAGTGGGACATAGATGAGTTTGGACAGCCGCAAGAGACTACACCTGGATATTGTTACTTCAGAGCCAGGTCCCCAGTCCTCAACACACTCCTGTTTTGCACAAGCCAAGCAAAGATTCTTCCATCTTCCCAGGGGGGCATCTCTGAGCAGTGGGGCCCTGCCCACCTCAAGGCTTCCCTCTTACCAGGAGCCCAGCTCCAACACTCTGCCTCCATGAAAAGTGACAACTGAAGAAGTTTAAAAATGAAGCTGAGTAAATTATGGGGGAAAGAATAGTTTCTTCAACAAATGGCCTTGGGACAACTGGATCACCGCATGAAAAAGAAGAAAAGTTGGATCCTTACCTGACACCACGTAAGAAACTAACTCGAAATGGATCATATGCCTAAATATTAGTCCTAAAACTATAAATCACACTGAGATACCCCTTCATACATACTAGTATAGCTATAACTAAAAAGCCACATAATATCAAGCGTTGGCAAGGAGGTGGAGAAATTGGAGCCTTCATACACTGCTAGTGGGAATAGAAAATCCTGCCATCCCTTTGGTAAACAGTTTAGCAGCTCCTCAAAACCATGATGTTCCTTAAACACAGAATTAACATATGACCTAGCAAATCTATTCCTAGGGAGTCCCAAGAACAATGGAAAACATATGTTGCATTAAACTTGTGTACAAAGGTTCATAGCAGCAGTATTGATACTAGCCAAACGGTAGAAACAACCCAAAAGTCCGACAACTGCTGAATGGAAAAACAAGATGTGGTATATTCGCACAATAGAATATTATTCAGTCATTAAAAAAAAGGCATACTGATCCATGCCATCTTGTGGATGGACCTTGAAAACATCATTGCTAAGTGAAAGAAGCACCTCGTAAAAGACCACGTTTCTGTAGCATACCCAATTGGGTAAATCCGTAAAGACAGAAAGTAGAACTGTGGTTTCCTGGGGCTGTCTCTAGGTCACGTGAGAAAAGAAGCAAGCAACTTGCACTATGCTACGTATCATCTTCTGTAAGAGGGTTCCTGAGGCCCAGTGGGTTGCGCTGAGCTGGCTGGCACAGCCAACACAGAGGGATGTACAGGAAAAGGTGTTTCTTAAACAAGGGCGGCCTGACAGGCTACCTAAGGATGGGAACCCTGACACATCTTGTAAAGTGCATGGTAGCCAAGGAAATGCTCCTGGTCCCATACTCATGTGTGACCATTCTCCAGGACCCTTCCTTTCCCAGTGCCCTCTTGGCAACTAGGAAGGCAGCTCGCATTCCCAGACCACGTGACCTTAAGAGCGAGTCCCTGTGCCTGCTTCCCCTCCCCCTCCCTCCACGTGGTGACCCCCTACTCCTTGCTCTGGTTCCTCTCTATCTTCCATCCCCTTCTCTCCAGGGTGCTCAATAAATATTATTCTAATTCTGAAATGTGCAATTCTGGCCTCACCTAATTAATTTGGATACGCCGGAGGAAATGGGTTAAGGCCTGAGCTACTTTCTAACCGTAGGAAAGAAAATTGGTCACTGAGGAATGGCACGGCAGATTTTGTGAAAGACTGAGCAGCAGCTTCCAGCATCTGAGCGAATGGCAGGGAGAGTCAGACAGTAGCAAACACGGAGAGAGAGCAAGGGAGGGAGAGGGGACAGAGGTCCAGAGAGAAAGAGAGGAGAGAAAACAGGTGGACAGAGAGGAGAGAAATAGGAAATGGAGCCAAAGAGACAGAAGGAAGAGTGAGAGGGGGTCTGAAACTCCAAGCAAGAGAGAGCAGGGATGTTCAGAGCAGAGAGTTAGCAAAAGTGACAGGCACCAGGAGACAGAGAGAGGGGAGGAGGCAGAGTCTGAGGGATAGGCAAGCAGGTAGAAAGAGCAAGAGGGAGAATAAGCCATAGACAACCAAAGGAAATCCAGAGATTAAATGTGATTCAGAAGAGACAGGGAAAGAGGGTCAGAGAGAGACATTCAAAGGGAAAGAGTCAGACGGAGAGAGAGACACAGAGACGGCCAAGTGAGGGACTCAGGACAGGCCGTCAGCAGGGCCCTGCCACCCCCCATGTGGATCACAGATGTGTCCGATTTAGAAATTTGAGGTGAGGAGTCACACTAGCTGTCCTGCTCCTTCCAACCCTCCCCCACCCACAGCGAGCCCCTTTTGCTGCAATATCTGATACATCAAACAAAATAATTCTTTCGCCTAAATTATCTAGATTATTGCCTATGTCTGATGCTCCCTTCTGCCTGTGTATTTCTTGGCTTTCTCTGGTGTGTGGTGAGCAGAAGAGAGTCAATTAATCAGGCAGCAAATCTGATCAGGGAAAGCAGTCAGTGTGATCAGGCCAGGGAACTTAAGCTTTCTTCAGTCCTTGGTATTGTATATGAATCACCTGAATAGCAAAAGCATCATCTTACATTTGGATAGCACTTAATAATTTCTCGATGTATTCACCTGCCTTGTCTCATGTGATTGCCATCCTATCCCTGTGACGTTTGCAGCTATTATTGCCATAATTCTTAACAAGGAACTGAGGTTCGGGCTAACTCCAGTACTAAAACATATTGGAACAGGGATTTAAATCCAATGCTTCTGACTTGAGCCTGGGCATCCTTCTGTTCACTGGGACTGCCTCTTACATACATTTCACTTCCTATAAATCATCAGCTTTAATGAGTCCTCCTGGTCCCTCCAGCTGGGTCGGCTAATTTAGCAAATGCCAGTTAATATTTGGGCATGGAGAAACAATTAGTAAATGAGTGACTCAGTTCAATACCAATTATTTATTTGCTTAAAACCTCAGTTATTGTTGTCAGTGATCCCGAGGAAATGAAAGTGTGTCTGAATTTCCCTAAGTGCTTAGTTATCTCAACACCTGCAGGGACCAAGCCCAGTCAACGTTTTAACATGTTGCCACCTGCATTCAAGACATGAAATAGTTATTAAAATGGCAAGCGATTTCCCTTGACAACAGAAAAATAAACAAAACCTTGTTCCTAACTTTGCTTCACAGTCTTGTCTACTTGAAAAATTAGATATTATCATTGGCCGAGTGATTACCATGTGCCAGACACTGGCTCTTACATGTGTTGGATCATATATTTCTCAGAATGCTCATCCACAGGATCTGCCATCAGTAGCCATATTTTGTTGATAAGAAAACTAAAACTTCTAGAGGTTATATATGTTACCCAAGGTCACACAGCTAGTAACTTCTGAATTCAGATTCCAAACATAGGTAGGTTAAACTACAGGAGCTGACTATATCCCACTAGATTATCCATCCATCTAGCTACCCATCTCTCCCTCTCTCCATTCATCCTTCTCTCCCTGTTTCCAAACCATATCCCATCCATCCACCCTCTATCTATTCAACATTCTATCCACTCCCCCCTAACTCATCCCCTCATCCATCCAACACTTTATCCATCAATCCATACAACACTCCATCCATCATGGAAGATTTCATCCCTCCAACCAACACTCCATCCATTCATCCACCCATCCATCCATTCATCCATCCACTTAATCACATTTATTTTCTTCACCTATGATGTCCCTGTACTGGTCCTTGAACACAAGATTTTAGAGAGTGTTTAATCGTAAGGAGAAAGATCTACCCAGACCTAAGAACTCAGCTGTGGCTCAACTCCTCAGTGCTATTCACCTCAGTGTGTCATTAACATCAACAGCTCTACAACCTTTTACACTATTTTAGCAGCCTTTTTTTTTTTCCAAATGAAATCCTGACTAGAACACCAATGTACTTCATCAGACACCTGCTCTGCATAAGGCCTGTTCCCAAGTTATTCCCAGTAGTCCAGTAGGAACTACCCAATCATCCCTGGACTTCATGGAATTTCCAAATTTTAAAATTAATACAGTGAAAGAGCATCAAAATGAAAACTTGGATTTTTTTTGTTGTTGTTCCAATCTTCATTCACTGAACAGATGGTCAAACTTAGGTCCCCCACCAAATTAAGTGGGGGAATGTAGGGCCTCTTAGTTCACCTGTCAGTCTTTTAAATCTCAATCAGTATGCCCTCCATAAAACCCCATGAATGCTACTACTCACTGAAGTGGTGCAATGGAAACCAACCTTCCGCCT